TTTGTTTGTTTGATTTCTTTAATTTATTAATTTTTTTTCCTAAAAACATTACTTTCTTTTCTTTCCCCCAGTTTCTGCTTTTTGTTTTCTTTCTGCTTTCTAGAGTTGAATGCAAATAAAAACCATGAGTTTTTGTTTATTTTTTAACCTAGTACATTGGTAATTAAAAAACTGATGAAATCTCAAGTATTGTCAAAAAATGTGGGGAAGGGGTACTCTCATAAATGGTGGTTGGTATTGTGAGTTGGTATGCCCTTGGAAGGGCAGTTTGGCAGTGTAAACGTGTGGTCATTCTTAGGCCTAGTAATTCCACTCCTTTGTCACTCGTACAAAAATACTGACACGTGCAAAAAGGTGTTGATTGTAACCTTGTTGGTAACAGATAAACACTGCAATCTCGTGTCAATTGGTAGAGGTATACTTGGTTAAAGAAAAATATGGTCTGCCATAGGAACAGTATGACAGCTTTAACAAGAATGGAGTTAGGTCTATGAGTGTGACATGCAAATAGTCTCAAGACATTAAATGATAAGTCGCAGAACAACAGATGTTTTCCATTTGTGGGAAAATAGCATTTTTTGCACATGTACACAGAGATAAATGAAAATGAGTAGACAAGGGTATAACTCAAAGAGCGTTCACTGAACAGTTGACAGCAGTCACTGTGGGAAAGGGTGTGGTCTGGAGCAGGGTGCAGGAGGAGAAGTCAACTCCTTACTTTATAGCCTTCTGACCTCTCTGAATTCTTTCTGGTGCTAACTAACATGTTAACTACATGCGTAATTAAATATAATGAAATTAAGCCACAAAAAATAAATTTCTTAAAAAATGCTCTTTGACTTCCCTTATAGATGATTTGCGTTTTACTTTATTTCTTTCCTGATCGCTTCATCCTAATCATAATATTTATTTGTTTAACCTGAATTCATTATTTCAAAATTAATAAGTCATTCTTCTAGCCAGTGTTCGCCCAAATTATGACTTTAGGCTTCACTGGTTGTGTTCTCACTACCATGTTTTCTCTGCCCTGACTACCCCATTAAAAATTGTATATCTTTTACTTTATTTTTAAATAATATTTTGTATTTTCGGTGGAAGGATACACAGTAAAACAGATTCCCATTCAACAGTTTCTGCACATATTGTTCAGCGACATTGGTTACATTCTTCACATTGTATCAGCATTGTCACTGCGTCTGTTCTAGTTGTTCCGTTCCCATTAACCTAGTCTCTCAACCCCATAACCTCATCTATGCTTTAGAGTGTTTATTGACCATTTGGTCTCGTGTAGATGGATTTTCAAAAGAGCATAGTTTTCAACGGTGATATTCATTACTTTATGAGCTAACATGCTGTTTAACTGAAAGGTGACTTGAGGGGATAGTTTCAGTTCAGTGCTTAAAGAATATCTCATGGCAGTAACCTGGGAGGTTCCTCGTGGCTCAGTGGGTCAAGTAAGTCTGGATTTTTTAAAAATTTGAAGTTCTATTCCACTTTGTTCTTCCTTTCTATCAGGATCCATCTATTGTGGTCTTGATTAGAATGTACAATAGTGGTAGCTGGACACCATCTAGTTCTTCTGGTCTCAGGGTAGAGGATGCCATGGTTCATGTAGACAGTCCTGTAGATTGGTTCCTTCTCTGAGTCTTGGGTTTCCTCCTTTCTCTTTTGCTCTAGATGAGTGGATACCAATAGTGGTATCTTAGATGGCCACTCACAGGCTATTAAGACCACGGACGCTACTAACCAGACTAGGATGTAGAACATAACTTTTATGAACTGTATAATGCCAATTACCTTACTTTTTAATGAAAAATTTCAAAATTAAATGGAGACAATAGTGTAATGAACATCCTTAAATGCATCGTCTTGATTTAACACTCCTTAGTATTTTGCTGTATTTGCTGCATCTTTTGTGGTGTGTGTGTGTGTGTGTGTGTGTGTGTGTGTGTGTGTGTGTGTCGTACTTAAGAATTTTTTTTTTTATGAGGAAGTTTATTTTACATTGTTTGAGGACATTTTATTTGGGAGTTTCTAGACAGGACAGACTAGATACCTACCAGAGACTATGTCTTACTTGTTTTTTTATTTTTTAATACTTTATTTTAATTTTAGAGAAAATTTACATAGCAAATTAGGTTCTCATTTAATGATTTCTGTTCATATTATTCAGTGACATTGGTTACACTTTTCACAATGTGTCAACGTTCTCATTATTTCCATTCTGGTTGTTCTGTTTCCATTAATCTAGCTTCCTTGTCCCCCCTTTACTTCTCATCTTTGGTCTAGGGTAGATGTTGACCATTAGGTCTCATTTATATGATTGTTTAGAGGAGCACAGTACTCACAGGTGATATCATTTATTTTATGAGCTACTCTGTCTTTTGGCTGATACATGACCTCCGGGAGTGGTTTTAGTTCCAAGTTTAAAGGGTATCCCAGGGCGATAGTCTCGGCGGTTCCTCTAGTCTCTACTGGTCCAGTAAATCTGGCATTTTTTTTAGGAATTTGAGTTTTGTTCTACATTTTTTTCCCCATTCTATCCAGGACCATCTATTGTGTCCCTGGTCAGAACAGTTGATAGTGGTAGCTGGGCACCATTTAGTTCTTCTGGTCTCAAGGTAGGTGAGGCTGTGGTTCGTGTAGACTATTAGCACTGTAGACTAGTTTCTTCTTGAGCCTTTTGTTTCCCTCTTTCCCTTTTACTTCAGACACATAGAGACTATATCTTACACGGCCATTTGCAAGCTTTTAAGACCCCAGATGTTGCTCTCCAAACTAGGATGTATAACATTATCTTTTATGAGCTATGTTATGCCAATTGACTTAGTAGCCCCCCAAGACTATAGTCCTAAGCCCTCAAACCCAATAACCCTATCTCGCGAGGTGTTTGGTTATGTCTAGGAAGTATCCATAACTGTGCCCCCATGTGCTTTTATTTTACTGTATTTTTATGCAAATAACGCGTGCCTTCTATGGTTGTTTGCCAACTGTGGCCTCCCCGGGAGGTATTTTCTTAAGAGCCATCCTGCCAATTTTTTTAACATGTTGCTGTAAAAAAAAATTAGCATAGCATGCTTACGAAAATACCTCACGGGGGGAGGGCACGGTTGACAAACAAATGTAGAAGGCACGCATTATTTGCATAAAAATACGGTATATATGCATATATATATGCTGCACACACAAACATGATATACATTTGCCCTCAGAAACACCTGTACATGCACACCCGTTTATTCATATGTTCTTACCAAAACAAAACCCATTGCTGTCAAGTCTATTCCGACTCGTAGTGACCCTATATGACAGAGTAGAACTGCCTCATAGGGCTTCCAAGGAGCAGCTGGTGGATTTGAACTGCCAACCTTTTGGTTAGCAGCTGAGCTCTTAACCACTGTGCCACCAGGGCTCCTGTATATGTATAGGTAAGCACATATGGGAGGCCTGGCGGCTCAGTGGTTAAGCGTTTGGCTCTAACCAAAAGGATGGCACTTCAAATCCACCAGCTGCTTCTTGGAAACCCTGTGGGGCAGCACTACTCTGTCCTATAGGGTCGCTATGAGTTGGAATCGACTCGATGGCAATGGGTTTGGTTTGGTTTTGGTATACATACGTAGGCATACATATCTACCTAAGTAACCTCATACATGTTTATTGGTTGTTGTTGTTGTTGCAAAATTGTGTATGTTGTGGCTTTTACCAAAATTGTCCCTTAGTCTTGTGTGCTTCTTAGTGTCATCTTTTACCTTGGTCAAGCTGTCTGACTTTACCCGTATTCGGCATTGCCTTACCCATCATCAAAATTAACAAGTACATACTGTTGAGAAAATGGTTCTTCCCTCACTCCCATCCCTGGTAACCACCAAAGAATGCTGCTTTCTGTATGTATACCTATTCTTGTGTTTTTTATAATATAAAGATCATACAGCGCTAGTCCTTTTGTGATTGACTCATTTCACTCAGCATAATGTCCTCCAGGTTCATCCACATTATAGTGTCTTTTGAGAATTCGTCAGTATTGTTTATGGCAGCATAGTATCCCATTGTGTGTATATCCATTCATCTGTTGATGGGCATTTAGGTTGTTTCCATCTTTTGCTGTTGTGACTAGTGCTGCAGTGAACATAGCTGTGCATGTATCTGTTCACGTCAGTAGTTTTAGTTCTCTAGCATATATACCTAGGAGTAGGATTGCTGGATCATAGCTTTCTTTTTCTAGCTTTCTGGGAAGTGCCATACCATTCTCCATAGTGGTTCAAGGTGCTTAAGAATTTTTAAATATTTTTTTGTTAATGGAAAATTTTCAAACATATTCAAAAGAAGTGAAAATAGTGTAACAAACCCATACCCAGCTTTAACAGTCATCACCGTGTGGTGATCTTTGTTGCATTTTTCTTTGTCCCATTTTTTTCTGAATTGTTTTAAAGCAAGTCCCATAAATCATTTTCATCCATAAATCCTTCAGTATGCATTTCTTTAAAAAACAAATACAATACCATTTTCCCAACTGCCAAAGTAGTAATGCTGCATTAATATCGTTTTTAAAAAACCCATTGTCGTCGAGTTGATTCCAACTCATAGCGACCCTATAGGACAAAGTAGAATTGCTCCATAGGGTTTCCAAGGAGCAGCTGGTGGATTCAAACTGCTGACCTTTTGGTTAGAAGCTGTAGCTCTTAACCACTGAAACTAACTAACTAATATCATTTATTGTCAGGTTAGTTTTCGTGTTTACCCCACAGCCTGGAAAACATCTTCTACATTAGGTTTGTTAGGATCAAGAGAGCTTGGGGCTGAATGTGTCAAAGGCCTGACTCTCTGGGCCTTTTTCCAGGTCGCTGTGAGTCGGAATTGACTTGACGGCATCGGGTTTGGTTTTTGGTTTTGGTAGAGAACTGAACTGTTACAGCCCCGATTGTGGGGATGGAGAGCAGGCCCTGCTTCCCTCACGGGAGAGCATTTCCACCTGACACTCTCTTTCTGTTTTCCTTACCCAGATCTGGCTTCTGAGATACCCTCCTTCTTTAGGGAGCCCAGGAGAAAATGACCACAGGGCCCTGGAAAGCCAGGGGAGAGGTGAGTGTCTCCTGCGTTTCCATACCATCACAGGATGGATGCATTCCTTTCTCTTGCCCTGACTATCCTTGGTACCTGGCAGAGTCCAGCTCCAGTCCTGGAGGTGTGATACATCTTCCCTGCGGCCCTCCCTCAGCTTCCCTCTCTGCTCCACACATCGCTCACTCTTTCACCAAGGATTAACTCTGCACAACACACAGTTCCACTCTACAGGATAGAGTTCAGCTCCAACACAGGTACAGGTTGCTGCACCTCCCGCCCCCCATTCTTTATTCTGCCACTAGGTACCTTTTACCTTTTATTCCCCCAGGTGGTCCCTCCCTGCCCACATTACAGGCTTCCTCTCTGCCTTTGCTCATGGCACCCCTTTCCTGCTCCCCACGTGCCTCATCTGGAATGCCTCAATCTTCCCTCTTCCCTTGATTCCTGCCAATCCTTCAAGACCAAGTTCCCAGGCCCCTCCCTGAAAACTTCCCTGATCTCTATCCTAGTGACCTCTCCATTTTGAAATCCTTTGACAAAGTGATTGAAAACCCTGGCTGTACTTGGGAACCTAGAAAAAAATGGATTTTCTGACCCTACCCCAGAGAATCTGATATAATTGATTTGGGGTAGGGCCTAGGTTACCTGTGATTTAAAAAAAAAAAAAGTTCAGGTGATTCTTACGTGCTATGTAAGAACACTGGTGAGAACACTATCACTCTTGTTTTCGCTTTTCCACTTGTGACTGTGTGCATGTTGGGTGTGCGTGGGCCTTGTGACTGCTGGTACTGTTGGCAGGGGTGGGTGTCTTAAAGCCATTCGCAGGACCACCCAGGTTAGGAAGGGGGAGCTGGCAGGTGAGACAGGTAATTTGACAGAAGGCAGCCCAGAGGGAGCGTCCTTGGGGAAAGCACAACAAAGGCTTAGTGTGAGAAACATGGTCTGGTGCTCAGGGAGTGCTGATGTGCTGAGGGGCGATTACAGAGCAAACCGTCTGGTAGCCTGAGAGACAGAGGCTGACCAGGAAGACCTCTGGCTAGCTGCTGACTGCACGGCTGGGCTAAGCAACCAGTGGTGGCCTGTAGCATTTGCCCGGCATGCTCAGATGTCTTGATTTTTCAAGAGGAGCCAGAAGGCAGGGTTTTCATGAGACATCCACCAGTGCTTGAACTGTGGAAAAAAGACAAAGTTTTAATGCACTGTGAGTCAAAACAAAACCTTACGGACTGCTGATTTTACCCCGCTTTTAAATCAGGATGAGGGCTAGACTGACGAGGGCTTGTAAGTTTTGCATCTGTACCCTCTCTCAGCCAGGACACCTTACTAAAGCAGTCTCAAATACTGGGATTTTTATCTAACACCACCTTCCAAAGCAGGGGTCAGCAAACTTTTCCTATAAAGGGCCAGGTGATAGTTATTTTAGGTGTTGTGGTCCATATCGTCTCTGTTGCAACCACTGAACTCTGTCATTATACTGTAAAAGCAGAAGGCAGTACACACACGAATGAGTTTGACTGTATTCCAATAAAACTTTATTTACAAAAACAGGTGGTGGGCCGAGTTTAGCCTGTTGGCCATAATTTGCTGACCCCTACTTTAGAGTCTGGATTTCCAGGTAGCACAGGGTTTTCATTTTATTTCTTTACTCTTGTTTAATTTTATATGTTATTTGCTCTTCTCTCTGCCTAGATTTAAAGTCCCCCAAAGCTAGGAACTCTTTATTTTTTACATGTACATCCCCAAACAGCCCATTCAGGACCTTGAATATATAGGTCCACAAATGCTGCTGGCTGGATAGAGATAGAAGTTTAAAGGTCTTGGAACACATGGCACCAGGGTCACAATCAAAGGCAGAATCTCGATATCTCACCTTCTTCCCCCAAGGCAGCCTTCTTGCCCCTCACCCTGGCCCATGGGCAAGGCTGGCTCCTGGGTGAGCAGGGCTGTGTTTTGTGTTACAGACACACATGGCATTCAGGGATGTGGCTGTGGATTTCACTCAGGACGAGTGGAGGCTGTTGAGCTCTGCTCAGAGGACCCTTTACAGGGAGGTGATGCTGGAGAACTATGGCAACCTGGTCTCTCTGGGTAAGCGTGGCTTCTCTTAGGACTCACATTCTTGCTACTTAGCATTTTAGACTATGCTTGAAGCAGCCATCTTGCTTTTTTGACTTTGTCTTTGCATTGGGCCCCAAAACAAAGACATTCTGTTTCTTGTTTTCCCAGGGAAGGTTTGCATTCTCTAGAGTTAAAAATGAGATTGTGTGTGTATGTGTGAGAGAGAGAGAGAGATACCTGCATTTCTAGGCCTTTTCCCCCAAGCTGGGGCTCTCCTCCTAGGATATCTTCTAATAAGGGAAGTGTTCAGTCACCCAGCATGGAGTGTGCTCTCTCTTATCCTGTTTACCTTTACTCATCCCTTCCATTGCTGAGAGCTCATTATTCTCAGGTCTCTCATTCCACCTTTTGAAGTTCCCGTCCAGTTTGGCTGTGAGTTCTGGAATGGACCATTGAGCATGTAATTCACAGTCACCTTGTTTTCTTTTCTTGTGAGCAGGAATTCCATTTTCTAAACCAAAACTCATCATCCAGCTAGAGCAAGGGAAAGAGACCTGGAGAGAGGAGAAAAAATGTCCACCAGCCATCTGTCCAGGTGAGTGAGGAACACTGGAGAGATGGGGCACAGAGCAGTCAGCAGCTCAGGTTGGGAGGGAGGAAGCATGGCTCAGGACTAGGGAGAAAGCTATTCTCTGACCTCCTAGGCTGGTGTTTAGATTGCCTGGCACTGCCTTCCTTCATCCTTACTAAGTGAGGGGCTTCTGTGGTGTCTCTTGTCTCCTTCCTCCCCTACGAAGCCTTTCTTCTCACTGGGTTTGCCTTCTGTAGCCTACTCGGTTCTTCTCCATATTTTGTTGATACTATTTTAAACAAAAACCAGATAAGAATGTGGAAAAAACTGAGTGAGCTAGAGAAAGAAAACAAGCTCAGTGGGAGGAAGGAAGGCTAAAAAATCAATTGAGAAATTCAAATGGAATTCTAAAACACTTGGGAGCTAAGAATGGTTTTTACATTTTTTAATGGTTGCATTTTAAATTGTGAATAGATAACTCCATTACTATAACTTTGACTATGAGAATCAGCATGAAGCTGGTTCCTATGAGGCAGAGTTTGAATATATCTCCACTTTCCAACTTCTCCATTTATTTCTGACATAAGCCATCCAACAGCACTCTCTCTCTCCTTACTGGATTGGGTAATTCGTTGTAACACCCACAAAACTCAGAATCACCGTACCTGTGATAACTATTTTTATATAACATAGAAAGATACAAACATGAAGGTTTGCATGGGGCAGATCTGAGGGGTTCCAGCACAGAGGACCTGCTTACCCTTCCAAATGCTCCATGACGTCACCCTGGGGCAGAGGTGCCTCCTGGCCATGCAGCTCTTGGGGGTGACATGCCCCATGTGAGTGCAGCTTTTCATCTCTGCTTCGCTCCACTCTCCAGGTCTGCTGACTGTCTCCACCACTTCTGGCACCGTCACTGCCATCCTCTACAGCTCTAAGCGTGTTACAGCTCTTTCACCCATATCTGGGAGGGTTTCCTAATGTCCTAATGGGCACACCACCCTCTCAGCTCTCAGCCAAGAAGCTCCCTAATAAGGTCGACCCCTAAATGCTCCACTTGGCCCCTGAGCTCGAGGTGGGCCTGTGCCTCTGCTCTCCTGGGCCTCTTCCTCCCCACACTGCGGCCTCTGGGCCTGTTTCTGATCTCCACTGTTTCTGATGCCATTGCAGCTCTAAGTGTGGACAGCTCGTTACCAGGGCTAGGAGTGGTCTCAGCACAGGGCCTCCCTCCAGGCGCTTGTCAACCAGGAGGCTCTGAAACCTCTATGTTGGGAGCTTTTTGTAAACCATTCCTCGTGCTTCTAGTCAGTCACAAGGTGGGACCTCCCTAGCCAGATGGAGCCCAGTTACTCCCTTCCCCAACATGCTTTATTCTGTAGCTGTCATTGGTATTATCACATCTGCATACATCATAAACTCCCTAATACAATATTAAAATATTTGCTTTTCTCACTCACATGTATTTTAAAGAATTAAGAGGAAAAAATGTACTTTTATATTTATCCTGTTTGTGCTCTTCATTTTTTTCTTGAATGTTTGAGTTTTCACATGATAATCATTTTCTTTCACCCTGAAGGACTTCATTTAGCATTTCTTATGGTGTAGTTGGCAGTGTTTTCTCTTATTTTTTGTTTTTCTGAAAATGTCTTTATTTCACCTTCATCTTCATTCTTGAAGGTTATTTTCACACTGGACATAGAAATCTGGTTGTTATAAAAAGATAAGACTTAATGGTCTTAGAGACTGGAGGAAGCTCTGAAACTATGGCCCCCAGACGCTCTGTTAACCCAGAACTGAAACCATTCCTGAAGCCGACTCTTCAGACAAAGATTAGACAAGACTATAAAACAGAAAAGAATACATGTGAGGAGTGCGCTTCTTAGTTCAGTCAGATACACGAGACCAAATGGGCGGCTCCTGTCTGGAGGCAGGATGAGAAGGCAGGAAGGGACAGGAACTGATTGAATGGTCACAGGGAACCCAGAGTGGAAAGGGGGACTGTGCTGTCACATTGTGGGGATTGCAACTAATGTCACAAAACAATATGTGTATAAATTTGTGTATGAGAAATTAAAAAGAAACCTCTGGTTATTGTTGTTAGGAGCTGTTGAGTTAGTTCCAAACAAAACACTACCCAGTCCTGTGCCATCCTCACAATCACTGTTATGCTTGAGCCCATTGTTGCAGCCACTGTGTCAGTCCATCTCATTGAGGGTCTTCCTCTCTTTTGCTGACCCTCTACTTTACCGAGCATGATGTCCTTCTCCAGGGACCGATCCCTCCTGATAACACGTCCAAAGTATGTGAGACACAGTCTCGCCATCCTTGCTTCTAAGAAGCATTCTGGCTGTACTTCTTCCAAGACAGATTTGTTCATTCTTTTGGCAGTCCATGGTATATTCAGTATGCTTTGCCAACACATAATTCAAAGACATCGATTCTTTGGTCTTATTCATTGTCCAGCTTTCACGTGCATATGAGGTGATTGAAAACACCACGGCTTGGGTCAGGCACACTTTAGTCTTTGATGTGGCATCTTTGCAGCAGATTTGCCCAGTGCAGTGTGTCTTTTGATTTCTTGACTGCTGCTTCCATGGATGTTGATTGTGGATCCAAGTAAAATGAAATCCTTGACAACTTCAGTCTTTTCTCTGTTTATCATGATGTTGCTTATTGGTCCAGTTGTGAGGATTTTGTTTTCTTTATGTTGAGATGTAATCCATACTGAAGGCTGTGGTCTTTGATCTTCATCAGTAAGTGTGTCAAGTCCTCTTTGCTTTCAGCGAGCAAGGTTGTGTCATCTGCATATGGCAGGTTGTTAATGAGTCTTCCTCCAGTCCTGATGCAGCATTCTTCATATAGTCCAGCTTCTCAGATTATTTGCTCAGCGTACAGATTGAATAAGTATGGTGAATGTATACAACCCTGACACACACCTTTCCTGAGTTTAAACGATGTAGTATCTGCTTGTTCTGTTCAAATGACTGCCTCTTGATCTTTGTACAGGTTCCTTATGAGCATAATTAAGTGCTCTAGAATTCCTATTCTTCGCAATGTTATCCATAATTTGTTATGATCTATACAGTGGAATGTCTTTGCGTAGTCAAAACACAGGTAAACATCTTTCTGGTATTCTCTGCTTTCCGCCAAGATCCACCTGACATCAGCAATGATATTCCTGGTTCCATATCATCTTCTGAATCTGGCTTGAGTTTCTGGCAGTTCCCTGTCAATGCACTGCTGTAGCCACTTTTGAATAATCTTCAGCAAAATTTTACTTTTATGTGATATTAATGATACTGTTCAATAATTTCCGCATTTGGTTGGATCACCTTTCTTTGGAACAGGCATAACTATGGATCTCTTCCAGTCAATTGGCCAGGTAACTGTCTTCCAAATTTCTTTGCATAGATGAGTGAGCACCTCCAGTGCTGCATCCATTTGTTGAAACATCTCAGTTGGTATTCCGTCAATTCCTGGAGCCTTGTTTTTTGCCAATGCCTTCAGTGCAGCTTGGACCTCTTCCTTCAGTACTATCCATTCCTGAACATATGCTACCTCCTGAATTGGTTGAACGTCGACCAATTCTTTTTGGTATGGTGACTCTGTGTATTCCTTCCATTTTCTTTTGATGCTTCCTGCATTGTTTAATATTTTCGCAGTAGAATCCTTCAATACTGCAACTCGAGGCTTGAATTTTTTCTTCCGTTCTTCAAGCTAAAGAAATGCTGAGCTTGTTCTTCCTTTTTGGTTTTCTAACTCTGGTCTTTGCCTGTGTCATTATAATACTTTACTTTGTCTTTTCAAGCTGCCCTGGGTTGGTAATTTATATTTTTTTAGCACTTGAAAGATACTGTTTCACTGTCCTGGCTTCCGTTGTTTTTAAAGTGAAGTCAGCTGTCATTTGCATCATTTTACCCTGAATGTAATACGTCTTTTTTTTTTTTTTTACCCCCTCTGGTTACTTTCCAGGTTTTCTCTGTGTTTTGGTTTTCAACAGTTTGACTATGATGTGCTTGCCTGGGTGTGCTTTTCTTTTTCTTTTTCCTGCTTGGGGTTTGCTAAGATTCTTGAATCTATAAATTTATGTCCAAAAACAAATTTAGGGAATTGTTAGGTGTTAATTCTTCACATGTTTTTTCTGCCCCATTCTTTCTCTCTCCTTTTATGCCTCCAAGTACATGTGTTAGTTCCTTTATATCTTTATATTGTCCTACAGGTTATTGAGCTTGTCCAATACTCTAAAATCTTTTCTGTTTTCTTCAGGTTGGATAATTTCTATTGATCTGTCTTCAGGTTTACTGTCTCTTCTGTCATTTCCAATGTGCTGTTAAGTCCTGGCAAGTGAATTTTTCATTTCAGATGTTGTATTTTTCAGTTCTATTATAATTTTCTGTTTCTGTGATGAGAGTCCGTGTCTGTATATTAATTATGAACAAATTTGCCTTTACCCTGTTTAACATAGCTGTTACTTTAAAATCCTTGTATTACAATACCAACATCTAGATCATCTTGTGGCCAATCTCCATTGATTGTCTCTTATTTATTAACCACATTTTTCTATATGCCTATGTATGCTCAGTAGTTCAAGATTATAATACGGACATTGTAAATGATATATTTTAAGGACTGTAGATTCTATTACATGTTAATGGTCTTCTGAAGAGTGTTAATTCTTTGGTTTCTCTCTCTCTCTTTTTCAGTTAATTTGGTAGAGATTGTACTCCACACTCTGACTCTACTGTGATGGGTAGTAGCAGCTGAAATCACTGTTCAGTTCTTTTTAAAATTTTTGCCTTAGCTAGGTTGCTTACAGTCTGCCTTGTGCATGCCTAGTTCAGATGTCAACCAGAGAGTTGAGCAGAGCTTATATGCAGGTTATGAGACTCTCTTTCTGTGATTCTTTCATTTCTGGAAGTTTCCACTTATTGGAGTGATAGGCCCCAACTCTTCCTTCTGATTCCTTAATCCAATAAGATTGCCATTTTTCGCTATTCTGCAGCTGGGACCTGCTTTCAAGCAAA